GGGCCCTTTCTGCCTCGGCCCGTCCCCCGGTTACCGCGGTTCCGCCGCGCCGCTGCCCCGCCAGCCCCGGAGCCGCTCCCGGGCACAGCCGTGCCCCTGGCAACGCGTCCCGGGGCAAGGACGGAGGGCGGCCCTGGCCAGGGAAGCGGGGACAGGGCCCGGCGGCTGCAAGCCAGCAGTCTTCACGTGGGGAAGCTCACAGAAAAGCCGGGATTTGTCGTTTCTGTTTGTCTGCCGTTTTCACTTCAAATAAATATCAACCTGAGAGTATTTGCTCACGTTTTCCCTCAAAAAAAAAAGTCAGAAGAGGAGAGCGGAGTAGATGGCACCTGAGCAGCTGCTGCTGTTACCCAAACAGGGTTTCCCTCTGCCCCCAGAACCTGCCAAGGCAGCACCCCCGCAAAAGCAGCCTTCCAGATGGCTGCTGAACAGCCTCCAGCCGAAAGAGCACCTCCTCCTCTTCCTCCTCACCTTTCATCCAAATAAAGTGGATAATCACGGGAAGAGAGGAACTGAAGATTGCAGTAAAAGTCAGACCTGTGGGCGCATGGGAGCTGCACACCATTTTCTCTGAAGACCCTGTGAGCTTTAATCAGCCTCTGGGGACAGTGCCATCGAGCATCATTTCTGTACTCAAAATTCAAAAAACGTACTTTACCTTTCTCAGGAATGTTGACTTAACCACGTTTTCCAGAGAAGAAAATGAAGAAGCTAGGGATAGCACTAATTGTTCCTGTTCTTGTCCCCGTGTGCCTGCTACCGTTTCACTGCTGTTGCCAAGGACACAGAAACCCCCAAGCAGGGGTGGGATGTTGCAGACATGGATCATGCTGCTCCAGGGTAACCTCATTCTGCAATCCCAATCTATTCAGTATTTTTGACGGGTTAAATTTGTACTGGGCAGTCTTACATAAACCCAGAGGAAATCTGGCACATGTTTTACTATCCACTGCAAATTTGAACAAAAATATCATCTTGGATTTGTCCAGCATTCGACTACAGCCTAATCCATCCAACTCCTGCAGTGGCGTGCAGATGCAGGAGTAAGTGCTTGTGAAACTTTGTCCTAACTTTCCTGAGCATGTGCTTGAGCACACTTCCCCATCTCTAGTCCTGCAGTGCCACGGCTGGCTCAGGAGTTACACTTTAGCTGCTTCTACACCCTTGGTGATGGGGAAGGAGTGCTTATGCAGCTGTAACTCACCGCAGATCTATGAAGTTATTTGCCCTTAAAAAAACACACTTTATTCTGGTGAACTGTAACAAGAGTAACAACAAAAGAGACCAAAAAAAATAGGATGGAGAAAAGTAGAAATGTCATGTAGCACTCTGAAAAAGAACAGGTACAATACTCACTCTTCAAGGCATTTGATTGAGAAAAAACTACCTTATTACAAAATGCTCACACTTTAAAATGCTTTACCCTTGTTTGCTAGTATTTAAATGTAAAGTTCTCAAAAGAATTTCATTCTTTTTCCTTAACAGAGACAGGAAAAATTTTAGGAAGGGTTCATTTGGGATTTTTAATTCTAAATACTTTCAAGGAGTCATTTTCATTAATCAAATTCTTCATGTTGTTTTTCATAAAATACATGGAAAGGATGTTCTCAGCCTTTCTGAGCAAATAATTATGCAAATTTCTTGAATGTAAGGACCTAATAAAGCCACTAATTTTTGAAAAAAAGAAATTACTACAAACTTTCCCTTCCATGAAAATGCTCAGTGTTGAGAAAATATGCCAAAATTGATCGGTGTTGTGAAACCCCAGTTCCAGCACCCAGTATGTTCAAAAATTACCAGCTGATATTCTGCAGGTGTCTAAATGAGAATGGATGTGTAAAAATAATTTCAAAGCCAAAAGTCACATGATGATGTCCCTGTGATAAGCACATGTGGTGGGATCAGCAATCTTCTGAAGTAAATAACCTGGTTTTACAATTCTGAACAAAGTGGGTGGTGAAAATGCAATAAACATATGGGGGAACTAATTATGCTTGGTAAAGAAGTGGGAATCTGTGTAAGGGAAAGCTGCTGGTGCTGAAGTATTAGGTTGTTTTCAGTTTGAGGAACTTAAACCAGACATAGAGTCCTTGAAAAGTCTAAACTCAACCCATGCAGCTATTTTGCAAATCCTCTGTATGTGTATCTTAGGTTTCCACATATGTATGAAAAGTCCCTGATTTGCCCCAAGCAAGTAGTTCCTGCCAATGTTTCCCTCACAATCCAGCAAAGCAGCAGCACAACTCCCAAGGCCCAATCTAACATCATGGATGCAGTCAAAGCTGTGTATCCAATACATGACAAAAGCACTCAAGTGTAGCTCCAACTCTAACAGGATTACCTGAAAACAAGACTACAAACAACCATAGAAAAATGGGGATGCTCTTTGTTCACATAAAGATACTCAAACCCTCACTGCAAGCTGTAGGCCCTCTCGGTCTGGAAGAATTTACCTGTCTCCTAATTCCCTGATCTTAGCCCAGGGGTACACGTACTCCTTGAGTGGAAATAGGACCACTATGCAGATAACACAAGAGTCACTGGACAGAAGGAGAAGCAGGCGGAAAAGCCCTTCAGCTAGCTTGAGGGAGCACTCCTGGACCCTAGCCCTTTTTCCTGAATGGTTCTGCCTTCCACACAGATCCTAGACTAAAATTAACAATTATGTGTGTATATAAACCATCTAGGACCAGAACACAGTGCACTTCCTGACCTATGACAATTAATGGTATTTTTTTGGGAAGTGGGAGATAAGAGATGAAACCTATTCCAAATGCAACTGCATGAAATGCATCATCAGGCCCTTCATCAGAGCCACTTGGAAGGCATCAGCCTTACCGTGGTAGCGTGAGACCAATCAATCAGTTAACATTAAGAAAGCAAATTAAAAGGCCCACAGTATTTATCTTGATGTATCTTACCTCAGCTTTTAATCTGTTACTTCATTAGATTTGGAAGAAGTAAGCAGAATCCCAGGAAAAAGAAATTTCTACAAGGATGAAAATTTTTCTTCACAGGGAGTTTGAAAGATTATGATTATGTCACTTACTGAAAAGTGATACAACAGCAGCAGCACACAAGTACTGAATATGTTTATTCACTCTAAGTTATCATAAGAGGACATTTTATATTTCTTTCACAGTGGAAACAAAGCCAGATGAGCTAAACCTCAAAAAAGCACTGTAAATAAAATCCCTTCTCACAACACGTCTGCAGAATTCACAACTGCAAAGCTGAGGCAGAACGTGGAATAATCCAAAAACTAATTCTTAATTCACGTAAAAATACATGTAAATGGACTTTTTATTTGCAGGCTGTTAGAAACAGAAGTACATCAGCAAGAATAAAAATGTACAGAAGTTTTCAAAACCTTTTTTAGGAAAAAAAACCCCAGAGCAAACAAGAAAACAAACAGTCTATGTTATAGAATGTTTTTCCTCCTATGTGTTCTGCCACTAGCATATGAAAAAGAAAGAAAAGGACCACTTTAACCAGCACATTCTCAGTTTTATTTTAAAATCCTTAGATAAGTGTTAGATGAATTTCAACTTACACTTTGCCTTAAATAAAAATAATTACAAGCTTTTGTTCTGTAATTTTGGGTAAACAGAAAGCTGGTAAGCAAACAAACTACTGAAAAAAAAAACCCAACAGTCCTGTACAAGATTCCATTTTGGAATTTTTATTTTAGACACAATTAAGAGTTGCTTTTTAGATTAAAACCATTTCATAGAATAATTTTCATGCAACAGAGTAAACCTTTCTCCTATGCTGTTTGACAGGAGATAAACGTTCACATGGAACAAGTTGTAACCATGAATGCAAATAACACTATGAACTTTATAGAACTGTTTCAACAACAACAGTTAGGGTTTATGGGATATCAGCAAGGTGTGTAAACCAAAGTGTTTTGGAAATATTTTAGATACAGTAAGAGTAACACCAAAATATTTCCATTTTTGCTGAGAACACGTGAAGCACCTATCAGTTCTAGAAGTGATTCTGGAAATGACATCATCAGCTGCACCAACCTTAGTAAGTAAGTACCAGATACATTTTAGAGATACTCAATGATTTTTAAGGTTTTAAAATTTTAACAGGAGTACAGGTAGCGTAAAAATTAGAAAATTCCTTATTATTGCCCTGTCTTGTTACAGAAGAACATTTTATGACACCTATCTCTTGCATCTGTATCTTTCAAAACCTCATTGAATAAATATGCTTTACAGGTTTATGCATAAAATCCATTTCAGAGGAAAAAAATTCAGGAACTAAGACCTGAATTATTTTGAGTTGGCTTCCCCAGTCACTGAAATAGTATAACGATGTCTGACTTGCACAAAATTATATCATTTATTTCAATATTCTTACAAGCTTCTACTCATACAATCAACTTATTTTCCACATCAAACAATTTATTTTAAGAAACCTTATATACATAAGAAATTATTGTAGATATCTTACAGGATAACTCATCAAGTATTCAGACAGATGTGTGTACTGCCTTTCACTGTGACTGTGACATTACTTTCCGCCTATTTCCTCAACAATGAAATTCATTATCAAAAACTGACTTACAAATACAGTTGTTCAAAAGTTAGAAGACAGAAATAAAAAGTAAAAAACCATTTTTTGTTGTGGTCCTCAGAATTACTGAAAACACCTTTGACTTTTGCCATAAATAATCAAACGGCATATGAAATGAAAATCTCAAAAATGTGGATGTACAAATCAGTAGCTCCTGAGTTATACTGCAAAAGCATTTTGGGAAATCAGTTGTGACACAGAAGGAACTTTGTAGTTATGATATTTTATTAAAAATCCTTTCCTAGGATTTTTCCCCTCCTGAGGAGCTGGGAGCCTCAGGAAAGAAATGTAAACAATAACTATCTGCTGCTGTGCAATGCAACAGGTGCATCTTCAATTAATCCATGTAGATTGTTTTCAATTGATGACCAATCACAGCCACCTGTGCTGAGGCTGTGAGCAGTCACAAGATTTTTGTTATGCATTCTATTCTATTTTTATTCTTTGTAACCTTCTAATCTTTCTTTTCTCTCTGTTCTTTTAGTATAGTTTTTATGTAATATTTTAGTATAATATATAGCATAATAAATCAACCTTCTAATAAAATTGAGTCAAACCTTTTGTCTCCAAACACAGAGAGCTCACCACGACAGAACTTTCTTAAATACTCAAGTAAAAAAAATGTTACATTACATTTTTTACTAGTAAATGCTAGTGTTCTAACACATGCTTCAGATTATGTTTTTAAATTCCACCTAAACGCAATAGGTTCATGTTGGCATTTCATGAAGCTGTATTACAACACTGAATAACTACAAAAGAGTTTCCTATTTTTAAGTAAACTGTAGCAAACCCATTATGAGAGCACTGTGCCCCATTGGAATATGCCTTCACATCTTGGTTGTATCATGGGAGATTGTAACACTGCATTACAGCAACACTGATGTTCTTTTTTTCATACAATCAATCAAAATTTTACAAAAATACAGCCAACCAACACACATAAAAGTATGCTGAATATTCAGTTCTGTCTAGAGATAGCCCTTGCAATTCCAGCTACAGAAGTCAAGCATTTGGAAGTTATGGCTGTGCATTCCTTACACAGCCACACAGTCACACTGTGTTACCACATTAACTTCTTTTCGTGAGGGGCAAAAGATGGAAAGTGCACTTTTAATCAACAGGAGAATAGAGATATTTTTTTCGCCATGACATCACGCTAAGCTACAAATTACATGTCTGGTAGTAATCTTCATAATTCAGTAATACTGAGCAAACATCGCTGCCTCTCCTAATTAATTTTGGATTTTGTAGGACTGTATTTATCATAACTTCATACTACCAATTTTCCCCAATCTGCATTGTGAGTTCTCAGAAGTAAGAGCCTGAAAGCAACCTGGGCACAGGGACACAGTAGCAACCAGTAAAACACTAAATCGAGTTTCTCAGCATGTGTAAGGATTGTGTAAGAGGCAGATCTATATGTCAAGGGTGGCCTCAACAGTGACTTTCTCTTCTTGTTCATTACATTCTTTTAAACTTCTCCAGCAAATTAAGTCAGCACCTTACAAACAATATGAGCACAGCAAAGCCGATTCTGTCCCAAATTGCTCTCTGAGCAAGGTATGATGTTCTCATTCCACATATTCCACAACTTCCATCTCTCTGTTCTTGACCCAAAGTTGTTGCTTCAAAATGCACTTCAAACAAGTTAACAGCACTTTCAAAGATGAGACACTGAGGCTCCAGTGAACAGATTCATCCTGTCATTTAAATATTTGATCAAAGCACTAAAGCTGGAGTGCTGTTGAGCTCTCTCTAGTCAGAAATCTTCAGCACCCTGGCCTTCACCCTTCTTGACTAGATTTTTAATTTCTACAGCTGAATCAGGTGCCTAAGGATGAGGATTAATTCACCCTGTAGGAGTACTAAGCCAAAGATACAAAGGAGATAAGACCAGTAAACCCAGGTCTCAAAACTATAACCCTCCCTATAACTGCCTCATGAAATTCCTTGCATCTTTGTTTTTGAATACCTGACCTTGGAACCTTTCATATTTAAGAAGAAGAAAAGAAACACAAATAATCAAAGTCATCAGCATTTGGAACATATTTATCCACTGTATAGATCTTTGTTGCATGAACATAACAAATGTTATGTTTTGAGACCAGGGCAGAAGAGTAGAAATGGGCACCTAACAACTCTAGTTAACAGGAACCTGTATGGCATATGCTTCTCTACCCTGTACTTCTCAGTGCAAATGGGGTTGTATATCCTCCCTAAAAATTAAGGCATCCTTCTTAAACAACAACCAACCAACCAAAAACCCCCAAACAAATACATATGAAAAATAAAGAGCATTACCACAACAGAGAAGCAGCAGTGCTTGAACCTCATACATACACTGCTGACAGGCCACCTGCAGATCAAGTCTGCATTAAATCTAAAGTCCAGTTAATGCAACTGCTTGGGTTTCATTAATTTTTTGTTTGGAGAGGTTTTTCTGTGTGCTTCTTTTTTGGTACAGCTTTGTAAATAAACAGTATCTTCAATATTCTTAAAATGAGATTGTCCTTTCTCCCACTAATCTTCCTACCAGATGGGACAACTCTCCCACAGGCAACCTGGCTAGCAACATTCACTTGTGCTTTAAAACTGAAATTCAATTTTCAATTCTACATGAATGTTTACAAGCTGCTACACAATAACTTATCCCTTAATGTAATGCAAATATCCTCAAAACATCAAAAGAATATGTCTGTAATTAACTTCTGAACTCTCTAAAATACTAACTTTCATGCAATGCATGAAATGACATGGAGCACAAATTATTCCAAAATAAGTAAATTCATGCTAATGTGGCACTGGGGCAATTGTTTCTGAAGCAAATTTTTCACTTGTAAAGCTTTCACTCATTAAACTCATACTCACTGATGAAGAAAAAGCATTATGGACAACGAAATATTCATCTTAAAGATCTGCTGACATTGGACAATAGGAAAAGAAAATGTATTGAAATGCAGATTGATTTACGTATCCGAAGACAGTTTATAAATATTTGCACAACATTAAAGTCTTCCACAGGACAAAAACAACAAATCACTTGGGAGGAAAAAGCACAAACAAAAAAGAATCTTTACTGAAGCCAAGCATGGAACAGAAAAGATTAATTAAAGTCAGACTTAATGTCTCTTTCAGAATATTATAAATCATTTAACTAGAGACCAGCATCAAACTGAACTACCCCATATTTTCCACTTACCATCCACTCAGGTTCAGAAGCCTGAATTTGCTCACCTTGTCCAGGTTTCAGGCCAACCTGAGTGTCAGATTTCAGTGTTCTCAAACTACAGAGAGGCGCAGGATGAAACTTATTCAAGGCTTGATGAAACGGGACATTGTATTCCCATTTTCTATCTCCTGTCAATTTTCTATAGTTTAGATCACCTTTGAAAAGAAGCAAGTTTGACTTCTGTAGCTCAGCATACAAATCAGGAGCAACTTCACTCATACTGGAAAAATCGTGTGGTAAAGTCCAAAACATGTGATCACGGAAAACCCAAACTCCCTTTTTCAAATTGCCCTCCCAGTTTATCCCACATCTAGACATCCACATATGATTAGCTGACCCCAGCTGTTTAATAGTCCAGTTAAAATCATGCTTTGTGGTATCAGATACATACCACGGAATACTTTTTCCATGAAAATAGACTTCATCAGCTAGCTTTGACGACAACAAGAAATCAGCCAACACAAGATCACTTACAAGTTCAAATCCAGCATTATCCAGGATTATGTCAACTCTAACATTACTTCTTTCTGTTCTATTTTTTTTGGCATTTAGTAGTGACCAAACTTTTTCCATATCATTCACCAAGATGTAAGGTACCATGTTTTCCAGGGATTGCAAAGGACTAGATTTCTGAGAGCTGTCTTCACCAGCTGAAAAAGAAAGGTCACACTTATTGCCCCACAATGACACCTAGAAGGAAAAAGAAAAAGAAGAAAAAAAATTACTAAGTCTCACTGTAGTTACATTCTCAACTTCACCTACACTGCAGATTTTGTTCCCTTGTTTCTGTTTTAGGTAATGAAGGTTCTAACTCCACATATTCTTCCAAAATTTAATAAAACTCAAGTTCTTGTACAGGTATCTCAACATAGACAAGATTTTGTGGAAGAAACCACGCAAAGCTCTGTATTTACGCAAGCGTCAGAAGTGACAAAGATGGAAGATTTAAATCAACGTAAACACATTGATCACAAAGCTCAAAACAGAAATATTCTCCATACTGCAATTCTAAAAAATATCAGTGGTAACACAGATAAAGGAATTAAAAAAGCAGATTTATTTGTTTATTGCATGCAGCCAAATAAGTATTTTAGATATATGTATTTTAAGTACTCACGAATGAGCCCTTTGTGAAGAGTCATCAAATACTTGGCGGACACTGTTGCCAGCTATTGAACTTATTTGTAACCCTATGATACTTTGGGGTTTCTACCCAAAGGCACTATATTCCAAGAATAATACTGTTAAAAAGCTTTTAAACCACTTCTGACCCAGACTGACTTCTACTTTTTTCTCCAAAGAAGTCTAAAAACATTTAAAGTGACAACTAAAATTAACTGTTTTAAGAAACAACGGGTAAATACCAAAAAGGTCATCTGGAATTTGACTTAAAATGTTTAAGAGATACTGGTTTTGAAGGAAGAATTGCTGGGTTTTCATATACACAATGAAGACCAGCAGTTAATAAAAAAGTGTCACATTTAAAACAAGTACCCAAAATACAAATACTTTCAGAATAGCAGCCATACAGTAGGGCTATCAGGACTTCATCAAACTTTTACAAACTAAAGATCTATGTTTTAATTCTCATATAAAATTCAGATTCTTTATAACCTCAAATTCTTGTTTGTTTCATAGGAGAGATATTTTCAATTCTTGTGTTAAGAACAGTTTACCTGCAATAGCTTAAAAAGCTCCTCCTGAAGCTGCTTTTCATCTAGATCCTTGATGTTCTTAAGAAGTTCCTGAAAGTAAGTGCATAAGGCAATAACAGCTTCTTGGGATTCAAAGAAATTTTGAGCCTTTCCTTCCTTAAATACATCAAAGTTGTCAATAGGTGGGCTAAAAAGAGAAGAAAAAACATGCTGACATACTTCCCACATTCTTCATTAGAGCACATGCAAAAGAAGCTCAAAGGTCAGCTTCTTTAGACTGTACTACAGGCCTTAGTTAGATTTTCCACTTCTAATTTGTCATACTAGATTCTCACATATCTCTACAACAGCCTAATATTGCATTTTGCTAAAAGACACTATACAAGCCATCTTTACATAGCAATATATTCTGAAAGTGAACAAGTATTCAATCACAACAACTCTGGGAGCTGCACAGACAGTGAGCATTTTGAACTCCAACCTTCAAACAAGAGATTTAAAACTGTAACACAGAAGTGAACTAAAGTCAAGAAAAGCTGGCCTGATTTTAAATGTGTTTCTGTGTGCTGGAGTGTACTTCCCATACCAAATTCTCTTCCACTTAGGAAGTTATGAAAGTCTTTACAAGGATTTTGGAAAATTACCAAAAATGACAAATGAGAATGTTGTAAAATATAAAAATTACAGGCTAATCTATTATGAGATATATTTGCACAGCGACCTTTCAACAAGTGACTGAACTTCCATCCAAGCATATGCTTAAGAGCAACTAAATAATGGAGATCAAGAAATTTAAAAGTTAAAGATGAAAAGTATCTGCTCAGTTTTTTAAGTGCAATCCAGCAGATAAACCTCATATTTGAAGTATTTGGTTCAAGAGTTCAAATTACACAACATACCAGTAGAAACTGAGTCCCATTACTGTGTTTGCATCTCCACAACACTAAGGGTAAATCCGGTACTCGGGGAGCTTTCAAATTTTTTTGGCAGCAATGGGATCTTAAACTGTTCATTCCTACCACATGACGTTGTACTGGCATGTCTCCATGGTACCAGCACAACAAGTTTTTCCTGCCCAGTTATTTTTAACCAGTATCAGCTCCCAACGTTCGAGGCAACACATGGTCTGCAAGCACTGCTGTAACTAAGAAGCTGGTGTAGAATGAACAGCAGGGGCTGCTTAACATGGCTGTAAGAAACAGCTCTCAAATGGTAACTTCAGATTGCAAGCAGCAAAACAAGTTAGAATTCCCAACGGATTTGTGGCTGTCATATTCCGTGTTTAAGGCTTAAGAGAAAATTCTAGACCAATAAACCTTGTAGAAATGCTACACGGTTTTCATATCTCAATTCACATTAGTCTGCAAAGTCAAACTATACAGTCAAGCTTAAGAGTTTTCATGTAGACCAACTCACCAAAACTGAAGCATAAAAAATTAATAAGCTTCAAATTCTGCTAAATATAAGAAGTAAAGGTATTAATTTTAAATCTGATGTGCAAGCTGAGGAAAAAGCAATAGGGTAAAAGCTTAAGATTTTCCTTTATCTTACTCCTCAGCTTGTCTTTCCTTTTTGCAAAATAAAAATGGGAAAGAGCAATGTTTTACAAAATAATATACCAAGCCAGTAAATACTTACTTCTGTGCTAATGCTGCATGGATTCTTCGATACATGTAACACTCTACGTACAGCCAAGGGGACTGAAACCAACTTGGTTCTCCATTTCCATTTGGTAAATTTCGTTGGTAGTCCAGGTATTGGTTCCACAGCACAGCATCAGGCAACTCATCTTCCAAAGGGGTCACTGGCTTGTCTGTCTGCAGCTCATTCCGCAGTTTGGAGAGGAAAGATATAGCTCTCTTCTCTGCTTCAACACCCTTCTGGGAAAAGCAGAGAATAAAAGTTCCTATTCTGTACCTTTATTGCTGTAGAGACACAGATCAACTGTTCATGGAATGTGCAAAGTTTTAATTGCCATATGAGAGTCCCTGACAAATCACAGCTTGATTCAACAAAATATATTGTGGTGACTAAAGCTCAGTTCAGATCCAAGATCCTAAAATGAATTCCATATGGGACTTCTTTTCAGATTGGACTTTTTGCTAATTAGAGGTGAAGAGAGTGTTGAAACACCGTCACATTCAGAAGGTGTTACTGTCTATCAAACACTGCATCAACACAAAAACCCAAGTGATGCAGTTGCATAAGTGACAGATCAGAAGGAAAAGGTTAGACAGAAAGGTGTGTTACAGAATTAATAAAAAATAGCTACTAGAAAGAAATTATTAAAAAAAAAAAAATCAGACAAAAGGACTGAGACAAACAAGCCTCACCAGTAAAAACACGGCAGAGAAAGGGTCTCAAGGGCTAGAGTGAAATAAACATCAGGGAAAATAGGGACCTTACTCTTACCTCACCATGTTCTTCAAAAAATTCATTTTTATGCCGATGCAAAGTATCAATAACTCTTGTGAGGATCTGCGGAAGTCTGTCTTTAATCGTAAAATACGCAAAGGATCTAAAAAAGAGAAGATCAGTATTTCATTATTGTTAGCAAATTATGAAATGGCTTCAATTTTTAAAAACAAATGCAAGGACTTTGCGCTACTTTGGGCTGGGGCAGAGTTAATTTTCATTACAGTAGCTGGTATGGAGGCTGTGTTTTAGATTTGTGCTGGAGACAGTGTTGGCAACACAGCGATGTTTTCCTTACTGCTGAGCAGGGTTTGCACAGTCAAGGCCTTTTCTGCCTCACCCCACCCCACCAGCGAGGAGGCTGAGGGTGCACAGGGTGTTGGGAGGGGACACAGCCAGGACAGCTGACCCTAACTGACCCAGAGGCTATTCCAGACCATATGGCATCATGCTCAGCAGTGGAAACCAGGGGGAAAACCAGGGAGCCACTGCCTAGGCATCAGGAAGTTCATGGTGAGCTTTCATTTGCTTTACTTGGTTTTCTTGGGTTCTATTTCTCTTTGCTCTTTTCATTACAATTTATTCTCATTCTAATTATTAAAATGCTCTCAACGCACAAGCTTCCTCATTTTTACCCTTGTCATTCACTTCTCCCCACCCCGCTGAGCTATGTGATGCTTTGCTGCCAGCTGGGGTTACAACACAACAGTATTAAAAGTAGCTTGATGCGCCCTTAAAGCAGCGGACAGCAAAAAAACCCCAAAACTAAAACAAAACGAAAAAAATTTCAAACTGGTCAGGTTCTTGTGCCTACTTTTGCAGAAGATTACAAACAGCAGCCTTTTCACGGAAGAAAAAGCTAAATGACTGGCCCTGACAAAACAGAAAAAAACTGCAGTTAATTCTGGGCTAAACCGCGACCTCTATTGCTAAGATACCCAGATGCAAAACCTGGGAAATGTAAAACCAAAAGCACAGATATCTGCTCAAACTTTATCACGAATCTCATCAACAAGAAAAGCACTCTCCATTATATACTGGATTCACATTTTCTCCAAACGCTGTTTATGTACGAGGACAAGGAGCAGAAGGCGGCCAGCCGCACAGAGAGCGCACACTGCCTGAGGACGATTTTTACTGTGAGATTTCTACCCGGTGGGTTGGAGCCGCGGAGCCGAGCAGCTGCACCGGGAGCACGGCACCGGGAGCACGGCACCGGGACCGACATCCCCTCACGGCCGGGCCGGGCCGGGCCGGTGACTGCGGCGGCGGCGGCAGCGCCGCGCCCACAGCGCCGCCTACGGCGCACTGCGGCAGGGGAGCGGGGCGCAGCCCCTCCTGGGACAATCCCGGGGCGGCGGGGCCTGCCGGAGCGCCCGCGGGAAGGGTGCGGGCGAGCCGAGGCGGCCTCACCCGCCCTTCCCGCCTGCTCCGGTCCTGCCGCGGCGGGGAGGGCCCCGCGACATTCCTCGCGAGGAGGGCGCAGTTTTGGGGCGAGGGCGAGCCCCGTCTGTGGGCGTGAGGGGCGATTCCCACTCCCGTGTCTCCCCCCACCCCAGGAGGCCGTTGTGGCGGCCGGAGTGGGGCGGCTGCCGGGCGGCCGCCCCGCCACCCCCCGTGTTCAGGTGTCGCTGCTCGGGGGTGACGCAGCACTGGCGGAGGCCGCGGCCCGGGATGGGGGGGCCCGGCCCCCCGCGCGATGGCGGCGCTGCCTTCCGCGCCCGCCAGGGGCGCCCGTGAGTGGCGGGGGCGGCTCCGGCGGCCTTGCTGGGCCCGCGCGGGCGGGGCGGCCTCGCCTTCCGATTGGTCGGCTTGCTCCCCGCTGTGCCCGCCCCCCGGCACGCAGCCAATAGGAGCGGAGCCCTCGCGCCCCTGCCTCCCTGCCCCCCGCGCTTGCCGCAGGGGCGCAGCCGGGGGCGGTGCGGCCGCTTTTTCCTTGGAGCGAAGGGCGGCAGTGCGGGGGCAGGGATGGGGCGGAGTGTCCCCTGCGTCCGGGGCTGGCGGGCCCCAGGGGCAGTGTGGATGCATCCGGACTGCGGAGGCCGGGCGGAGCTCGCGGGCTGGTCTGTGCCGGTCCGGTCCGCCCGCCGGCGGCGCGGGCCCGCCCTGTCCGTGTATGTCGATGGCGGTGCCGCAGCAAGCTGGGCCTCCCGGCCGCGGAGGCGGCGGGCGTGGCTAAAGTGTGCCGTGTGCTGAAGAGACGCTGGAAAATAAATCCCAGTTGCCGGCCTGCTGCTCGGAGGCGGCTCCTCCTGCCCTGTTGTGGTCGCCCTTCGTCCCGCTTTCTTCTTGGATTGCTGTGTTCCGCTCCTTCTGGCTTGGTGCCTCTGGTGCCGCAGGTCTGACTCTCAGGCCCCTCGATGGAATTCAGTCTATATGATCCCTCTTTCCTTCCTACTTACTGTAAGCCTGTACAGTTGAAAAATCGTTCCTGGCATTACTGATCCAGGATGACGTTTTGTTGGCTAGGAACGCCAACAAAACCATTTTATATCTCTCTCTGCCACTTAGCACACACTGCTGGAGACTTTTTACCCCTTGCCCCAGTTCTCCACCACCTGGTTTGCAGTTGCTGAGTTTCTCTCAGCTCTTCCTTTATCCAGGAGGTATCAGGCCTTTAAAAAGGTAAATATGCCTTGTCCTGGACAGGGTTGCTTTTTAAATACAGAACAAGTTTAAAATGAAAATAATAATTTATCCCGGTAAGTCTGCCAATAACAGGCTTCTAAATTGGGCAAAAATGTATAAGTGAAGAGCATGTAAAGATACAAAGTTAAGCCCAATATCAGTTCATCGGGGTATCCTTGTGAGGATGGAGGACTTGTTCCACAACACACACTATGATTTGCTCTTAAAATAAAATGGTTTTTTTAACTATTATGTTAAATGTATTTTTAGTATTAAAGATCCTCCTTCAGTTTTTGAAAAATATTCTAAAATGGGCAGGTTTTTGAACTAGGCAGCTTAATGACTTTTTGTTAATAATTTTTTGAGGATGGATTTTGTGTTATAAGGGAAGTGTTCTTGATTAAGGAAACCAGATGAGTGTAGGGACTTGTCGCTGAGCTTTTTCAGCAAATGAAACACATCCACTGTGGTATTGAGTCTGTGAATATTTTTATTTTGTTAGCTCACACAATGTAGTGCAAATATAGAAGGGTTGCTCTTAGTCTGAGCTGCCAGCATAAGGACACTGTTGTGTTTCAGGCTGCAGGGTGGCTGTGCTGGCAGGGCTGGTGGTCCCTGGAGCACCAGGATGTACTGGCAGGAGCAAGGCTGTGAGTCGGCTCCATTCTCTGTGCTGTGGTCAGGACAGATGGCTGGGGCTGGATCTGTGCTCGGCTGTTCATGGCACAGCAGCTGGAGCTGAGGCTGGGCAGCGTGTGTGTTCTGCAGGTGACATTCCCATACAACCACGTAGTAATCTAGTTGTTGTTTTTATTATGTATCACGGTGATTCACAGCGTCTGGTGTCCTCTTTAACGTGTGAGCTTGCTTGCACACAAGCAGTGGAGTTACTGAAAGTGCAGGCTGCTGCACAGAATGAGCAGCAAAAGGAAAAGATGCCCTCTTGCATATTGACACAGCAGCCAGTTCTGTTTTTTCACCACTTGCTGCAAGCACACAGATGTGTTTTGATCTTAGAGTGTTTCCACAGGATCAAAAAAGTGTTTCTATTCCCACCAATGTCATGTGCTAGGGAGTTGTAACACATGCAAGAGTAGTATGGACCACCTTTTAGATAAGAGGGAAACAATACTATTTCTTTCCAAAATGTTGACTGGTGATTTTGTTTGTTTGTTTTAAATACAGTTCAAAGGGAAGAAATGAGACTGAAACTTCTGCACCGTCAGATGAGATCTTTCCACGCTTTAACAACAATATGCCAGTGCCAAAGCTTTAACAAAACTGGATATCTACTTTTAAAGCTGGATAATGAAGTTGAAAGAGCAGCTCACAGAACAGCAAAGTCTTGGGATTTGTATGCACTGAAACCTGTGTTCCCTTGGTTGACGAGTCAATGTGTGCAAGTCAGGAATCGGCATTTTCTCCAAGGATTTCTGTCCACTTTGGAAAGAAATGTTTATTATCAGAATGGGGAGGGTTTTTTCTCATCCTGGAGACGTTTGGGGGTGACAATGATGGAAAACTACAGGCTCAATACAGAGTGGATCAAAAAGCTTAGGAACACATCATCAAGATTTTATGCAGTTGTATCAGCTGGTAAAACTGTCCCCAAAGCCAGTAACCAGCCAGTTAAGAGGCCACCAAAGGCACCAAGGACCAAGCAGCCATCCAGAACGAACCTGCCACTCTCAGACATGGAGGTAAAGTATAACATTTACAGTCTATGTGACATTAAGGGAGTGCATCTGTTTAATTTCCATTCAGATTTGGGGTTAGATGAACATTTTAATGAAATCAACATAATTATTTGGTGAGAAGGACTTCATTATTTACACTAGTGTTGGAGCTTTGCAAATAGAAGCAAGCTTGATGGAAACTGGCATGTCTGGTATTTTGAAGGTAAAATGGAAGTTTACTTGCAATGTGTTAACAAAAGTGGAGGGAAGATGAGTGGTTATTATAAAGTGGAAAGTGAAGTGCATTAAAAATAGTTTTGACCAGTGCTTTCAAATGACATTTTCTATTGAGAAACAAAGTCTAGCTGTGAGAATAATTTAACTTTCACTACATTTCCTTGCTTATCCAGAACTACCCAGTTTTAAGGTTTCACTCAAATAGAAATAAAAGTGCAAGTAAATAGTATAAGCTTATATTCAGATAAAGTTTCAGGTGGGAAATGAATGTGCAAGTGTAGTGTGTGTTACCTGAGAAAAACCATTCCGTGTGTAGAAATTTGATTATCAGTCTCTGAGGTCTACAGAAGAGATGCAACAACACACTGTTTTAGATACAGTGAGGTAGGATGAGGAAGAGCAGTGCATATTTGTAGCCATATCTCCTTGAGATAGCTCTTAGCTAAGCCAGGCCTTAAGTACACTTGAGTAGAGGATTCCCATGGTGAATCCTGGTGTCAGATGTGTTATTGTTCTCATCAGGCTAAAACAACCGAGTTCCAGGGTGTTGTTAGTAAAATA